CGAGCTGGTTGTTCAGAACAAGGAGAACAAACACACCAGCTACATCTCAGGTAGAAACACACAGCTAGCAGGAGAGGACTCGCGACTCAGGTTTCCGTTTGCATCAGGAACTTTCTTGGTTTTGGTTTTGCACTGCCTGTCTCTGGTCGCGATTAACTAATTAATCATGATGGCGCAAGTTTAATGTGAGGTTAGTATGTATAAAAACGCTATTTTAACAAATTTGTTGTGGGATAAATTCTCTTAGGCTGCCATCTTTGCGGCTGTGTCCATTATATTTTTGGCTTACTTCCACCTTTTTAATATTTTTACATTGACATTCTCCTTTGTTTTTCCAGCTTCTCTGGTTTTGACTTTGCTGACCTTGAAATGTTTTATATATTTATGCGTCATGTGCGTCTGAACTTGTTCCTGCTGGGGCCTTATTTTTAAAACCTTTTTAGTTTTTTGGCTAAATGTTCTTCTAATGCTCTCATTCTGTCATCTGGGTTCCAGCTCCCTGGTTCAACATGTACCTGTCTGCTCGAGAGCCAGTGGTTCTGAACTTTAACCCTTTCATGTCCTTTAATCTGGACCCAAAGCCGGACTACAATGATCAGCTAATCCGGGCCACCAACATGGTTTGTTCCGCCGTGCGTTTCATGAAGACGCTGCGTGCAGGAATCCTTGAACCAGAGATCTTCCACCTAAACCCGGCCAAAAGTGACACGGACTCTTTCAAGAAGTTGATCCGCTGGGTTCCGTCCTCACTGTCCTGGTACGGGGCCTTCATGGTCAACGCTTACCCACTCGATATGTCGCAGTATTTCCGCCTCTTTAACTCCACCCGCATTCCCAGGCAAGGGCAGGATGAACTCAACACCAATGAGAAAGGACGCCACCTGCTGGTCATGCGAAAAGGAAACATGTATGTTTTTGACATAGTAGATGGAGACGGTAATCTAGTCTCGCCTGCAGAGATCCAGTCGCACTTAAGCTATATTTTGTCCGATCAGACGCCGATGCCAGAGTTTCCAATCGGGGTTTTGACGAGTGAGAACAGGGACGTGTGGGCGGGACTCAGAGAGAAGCTTATAGCCACAGGAAACGCTGAAAATTTGCACCTGGTGGACAGCGCCATCTTCTGCCTGTGTCTGGATGACGAGGTGATGAAAGACCATATCCACATCTCCCACAATATGCTGCATGGTAATGGCTGCAACCGCTGGTACGACAAGTCGTTCAGCATCATCATGGCCAAGGACGGACAGGCCGCCATCAACTTTGAGCACTCCTGGGGAGACGGTGTGGCTGTACTGCGATTCCAGAACGAGATTTATAAAGATACCACACAAAACCCGCTGGTTCACCCAGACTCTGCCACCGCCAAAGTGGACTCATCATCTGCCGTGCGTCGCCTCCAGTTCAACATGGACGCTAAGCTGGAGGATGGCATCAGGAAAGCCAAGGAGAACTTTGATGCTGCGGTGTCCAAGCTCACCATAGATGCTATGGAGTTTAAGAAGGGCGGGAAGAATCAGCTGAAGAAGAAGAAGCTGAGTCCAGACGCCGTGGCTCAGCTGGCATTCCAGATGGGCTTCATGCGTCAGTACGGACAGACCGTGGCCACCTACGAGTCTTGCAGCACGGCGGCGTTCAAGCACGGTCGCACAGAGACCATCAGACCTGCGTCCACATTCACCAAACGCTGCGCCCACGCTTTTGTAAATGAGAGGGGGAGACAAAGCGTTCAGGAGCTTCAGGCCATGATCCAGGACTGCTCCAAGTACCATGGACAGCTCACCAAGGAGGCAGCCATGGGTTAGTGATCCACACTTTCAGAAACATAGCTCACAGACAGAGTTCACTTCACATGTCTAGTGTGGAGTATGGTAGAGTATGGTACAGTATAGTGGAGTACGGTACAGTATAGTGGAGGATGGTACAGTATAGTGGAGTACGGTACAGTATAGTGGAGGATGGTACAGTATAGTGGAGTACGGTACAGTACAGTGGAGTATGGTACAGTGGAGTACAGTGGAGTATGGTACAGTATAGTGGAGTATGGTACAGTATAGTGGAGTACGGTACAGTACAGTGGAGTATGGTACAGTACAGTGGAGTATGGTACAGTGGAGTACAGTACTGAAAAAAATAGCAGAGAATGAAACGGAGAAGTCGGGCTAACATTAGCAGGTTAATTGTTGTCAGATATTTGAGTTCGTCTTTTGACATCTTTGGTTAGAATTTCTGGAATGGAATTTTACTTGAATGACTTCTGAAACTTCTGACTGAAACATGTGAAATAAGCTAAATGTTAGCCATAGGGACAGCGAGGACTATTTCTGTTTGTTCTTGTTCCACAGATTGGACACCAACGTCTCCTTGTGTTTCTGTCTCTAGGTCAAGGATTTGACCGACACCTCTTTGCTCTCAGGCACCTGGCCCAAACAAAGGGTCAGACTCTGCACCAGCTCTACACTGACCCAGCCTACGCCGCCATCAACCACAACATCCTGTCCACCAGCACGCTCAGCAGTCCTGCGGTCAACCTGGGGGGCTTTGCCCCCGTGGTACCTGACGGCTTTGGCGTTGGCTACGGCGTCCATGATGACTGGATCGGCTGTAACGTGTCCAGTTACCCGGCTCGAAACGTCCATGAGTTCCTGCAGTGCGTGCACCAGTCTTTGGAGGACATTTTCAGTGTCCTGGAGGGGAAGTCCCTCAGCTGAGACATGGTGTCCACAGACACTGTCCTCCAGACGACTGTCCACGACCAGGAAATGTCTGTCTTGGACATCCCCAGCATCGGGCCAATAAAGAAAAGTGACTGCAGCCTCTGGACATCAGAACTGATCCCAGACCTGTCTGTAGCTGCTGTGTCTGTGTTGGAGTTAATATCATGGACTCACCCTGACATAGGTTCTCTGAGCTCCATCTCAGTCCTCTGGTCTGTGGACGGACGTTTTTGATAAGAATAATCTCATGATGAATGAATTAGTAACAGATGACAGAAGTCCAGACATAGGTTTGGTCTCACAGTAAATTAGTAAAGAAAACACTTGACATCACGCAGTGATTATTTATTTAAGAGTTTTCATCTCAACTTTATAACATGGTTCATGAAATTAAACTGACGTCTCTGTCCAATCATTGTCTCTTTAGTTTTCATTCACGTCTGAAAGGTTTACCAAATGGTCAGGGGTCATAGGTCAGGGCCCTGGGATTCATCCAGGATTCCTGCATCAAAGTCACTTTGGAAAGAGAAGAGCATTCTGCAGTCTTCACTTTTCACCACAGGGTGTCACTAATCCCTGCACACTTGCTGAGTCACAGAAAGAGACTTTGATGTTTCCTGAAGATTTCTAGAATGTCATATTTTGTTCTGCCCACTGAAGATGAGCGGACGTCTTCGCCTGCCTTTCATGTCAGTACCAGACGAGACCAAAGGTCAGATGTCCAGGAAGTTCCGAAGGTATAAGGAGAGAAGAAGACGATTACGGTGATGTAAAACTGCAGCAGACCAGAGTAGAGGATCCTTCATCTCTGCAGAGCAGTGCTGCCTGATGGTTCAGGTCCAGGTCAACATCTTAGAGGAGAAATGGCACCACTGTTGTCCAAGAGGACACCAGTGTCCATGTCCACCATCAGGGTTTCAGCCTCAGCACCGACCCCCACAGTGAGTCCAGCTCAATTTAAAACCTCGGTTACCAAAGAAGAGGGGAAGGGAGGAGTAACGCTGCAGTAATAGGGTAGATTCAGACCACTTTCACACTGCAGGTCAGCGTGGCCCAGATATGACTATCCAGCCCACATGTGGGCCACACCAGATTTGCTTTTATAATAGTGTGAAATGGCCAAACCCGAGTTCAAACCAGAACCAGGTCACGATAATGTCAGGTCCACATCTGTCTAGACACGTTGACATTTAAATGATCTCGTCAACAACTGGGCAGAAAAAAGTATCAAAGGTTCAAGTCCCATCTCAGATGTTGGGTCTCTTCTTCTTCTACAGTATGTTCATTGTTGGTCCTCTGTCCCTCTGTCCATTTTTCATCCCATGGTTTTGTATTTCCTGTTTGTTTCTCTAGAACACTCCAGAAAGTTCTACCAAGATCAGATATGTTTGTCTAAAACCCGACGTGGTTCTTCTAGATGTCAGACACTCACCTGCAAACATCTCACCAGAGGGGGTCTCCCCTATCTTTAGCAGAGCTCACAGTAGTCTGGGAGCAGATGGGGGGAGCAGGTTCTTTGTGAAGGAGGTTCCACCTTTGGCATCTGACGTTCTCCATTTGCCTTTAATCAAGAACCTGCAGCAGGACCAGAAACCAAACTCCAACTGTGGGACCATCAAAGGAGGCAGAAATCCTGAGTACAGGGCGGGAGATGGAGTATGTCTCGGATCACTCCCTTTACTCCCCCCTCAGTCTTCCTTCACTTCCCCAGAAGTTCTAGACCTGAAGCAGAAACTTTTTCCCAGGAATAGAGTGACCATAGCTCTGGACCATCACAGTCCTGGGCAGGAACAGAACCAGATTTTACTGCAGACCGACAACAGAGCAGTCCTCACAGGGTCGAAGACTGACCGTAGTCCAGTATTCAGACGGTTCCTTAGGAGAACGTCTGCTCACAGTTATCCACAGACCAAAAGGAAAACCAGAACAGGTTCACCTGGTCCACACGGAGACAGGGACTCCAACCCTGGTCCAACCAAGAAATGTTTCCTTAAGAAAAAGGCTGACGTAGATGTCAGTGCCCAGAAGGTCCACCTGGGCCAGGGTCCAACTGGACCTCCATCAGGAGCAGACCAGACCAGGTCCAGACCAGGTAGACCAGAGTCAAACCATGATCAGAGTCCAGGCGCCTGTCCTGAATGTCCAAAGACACAGTGTCTGACCAGCAGGGGGCGCCAGAGTCCAGGTAGAAACGCAAGGTCAAAGTTTGGTGAAAATTCCTTCTTCCCAGCTCCTCCTGTTCCTCCTTTTCCCACTCCTCTCCTGGACTCTTCCTTTTCACTAAAACTTAAGTATTCTCACAGTACAAGGAGTCCAGGCTGCAATTCCTCCTCCTCCCCATTCTCTTCCTCTATAGCAAAACACAATGTGCTGATTTTTGTGGAGGACCTGGTCCCTGTGAGACCTTACTCTGATGATCTCCATGGTAAAGATCTGAGAGAGGAGGAGGGGGTGGGCAGAGGTGAACGGTATGATTGTCCAGGCAGGACAGAGGAGGGTCCTGAAGGTGAGGCTGACGACAGCATTGAGGAGAAAACCCCAGGTAGAGACCAAACATCCAGGAGGAGCAGGGACTCCACACCTTGCACGCCACCTGGGAAGCAGACCACGGACTGGTCTTCTTCAACCAGAACTTCAGAAGGCAGGACTAACAGAGACATGGCTGTCCAGACACAGGGCTTCACCAACCAGGATCCAAACTGGAGTCCTCCAACGGTCTGGTCCTACCTGTCCTACCTGAGTCAGGGAGCTGCAGAACCTCTGAGTGCAGAAAAAGTAGAAGGTGAGAACCAGGTCACACACAGAGACCATTCACACAGAGAACAGATTAGAGCTGGGGATCAGACACACAACCTTCTTGTTGTAAGGCAACAGGACTAACTACCTGTCTCCATGCTGATAATCCAATCTTGATTCTGATCTGGACCTCCTTTGTTGTTATGTGTCCTCAGCTCTCCGCAGCGTCCACCCGGCCCTAGCGGTCTTTGTTCTGTGTGAGGTCATTAAGAACCAGCTGCTCCTGATGAGAACCATCTACCAAAGCAACCAGCACCATCACTCCAGCTCTGTCCAGAGTCTGAGCTCTGAGAAGGTCAAGTCCCCCACACTAAAGGACACCATGGAGGTAAAGAACAGTACGCCCAGCCAAAAGTGTCACTCAGGTGATACTATTATTCCATAGCTATGGTATCACTCCCCATTCACACCTCTATCCTTGTGACTTAACATTCTGCCCTCCTTAGAATAGGGTGTGGTTCACCACACCTCCATTCCCCATTACTAGGGTATTGCTTTATGCAACGACCATCGTTACAGGTATGCAGAACCGATGAATGTTTTCCTGGTACCTGTGTCCACAGAACATCAGAGGAGAGAGAACCAAAGTAAGGGTCGAGGACGCTGTGAGGCGTCTGTGTCAGGAGATGGGACTGGATCGCTGATCCAGAACTGGACCACTGATGATCCTCCTCAGGAACAAACTAAACGAGGAGACCTCTGCAGAAGAACTGGTACTGAAATTGATACCGTTGATGTTGTTAGAACCTGAAGAACCTTCTTCCAGCTGCTCCTCACGTTGTTCCATATCACAGTAAAACAACAGAACCTCACTTTTATCTGTTACAGTAGCACAAGGAGACTGTTGGTCTCTACACTTCCTACAGGTGGGGCTGTTGCTGGCTGGCCTCCAACTCCCCTACCCCACTTTCCTCCCTAAGCTCAGAACTTCAGACCCAGCTTTACTGTCGCCAACCAGCATGTGAGGTGAGCATCAAACCAACAACCTTCTTCCCATTTTTCTTTTCTTTTTCTCCTTCATGGTTTACAGCGCCCCCTCTCTGTTACTGATAAGTTCACACTGAGGCCTGTGTAAAACAAACTCAGTCTGATCTGAAGAGTGTGTGTGAAAAGGTCAGATTAAGGTCAACGTGACCTGCAGTTTCTGAGATCCATGTTATGTGACCACCACATCCCATGACCAGTAGTATGGACTTAGTCAAATGAAGACATTCAGGGGCTGAAGGTTTAGTTAAGAACCAACTTTGACAGGTTTTTATTTCAGTAACACAAAATTCAACCATTGTTCCGAGGCTAACATGAGGGGGCGACGCAGAGGAGACCAGCTTTTAGAAGGCACAAACGTTTGGTGGGTGGAGTCAGTGGGCGGAGTCAGTAGGGGTCGTTAAAAGGGTAGTGAGGATGTGCAGCATCTCTGGGAACTTGTTTTCCGTCCACCTGCAACAGAAAATGCTGCATCAGCAGAGTCCAAATCAAATCATAATCTAGGATTTCAAGGCCTGACCCAAGCACATTCCAGGTCAGTTTTCAAACCTTTCCAGCACCTTAAGACTGTTGGCTATCGTTTCTTTGTATTAAAGGATTTTCCTTTAATGACGTTTGAACAATCTTCTTTGTCTTGTCGTGGCTGGTTAGCTGTGGGTGCTCCATGTAGAGCTAACTCTGACTATCTCATGGTAATCGTTACATTTTAGCTGACTTCTGTCCTTTAAGTTCTACCGGACTTTCCAATGACCATCTCAGTCGTACAAAAGAGAAACCAGGTTAGAACCTGTTTTTTCTTGTTTTGAGACTCACTTCAATCATTGGTACGATGTAGCGCCACCCTCTGTTCAGAGCAGTGATGCTCCTCATTTCTTCATCTTGGAGAGTGAAATCAAACACCTTAAAGGCAGAGAGACAACAAACATGTGAGGGAAGAATGAGGATCAGACTCAGAGAAAATGATTCAAATCCCACCTGGATGTTTTCCCTAATCCGTGACTCTGTCACACTTTTAGGAATCACTACCACTCCCCTTTGAGTCTGCCACCTGCAGGGTGGAGGACAAACAACAAGACTGTTGATAACCACCACATTATAATCATTTGAGCTTAGCTTTTTTCAGCTAACTTTTAGCCTTTTCTCCTATTTTTGTCATTTTGGAGGCAGAATAAACACATTCTGTTCTATGCTGTCTTATTAATAGAACATGTTCCTATTCAAACTGTTAGGTCTTACTAACACAGACTAAAAACCAAATCCACCTGAGAAGGATCTGGGCTGGACTCTTGTTGTACTTCTGTGCCAGGGAACTGATCACTGGTTCCTGTAGTAACACAGGCTCTTCTGGATGTTTCCAGGCTCGGTCGGGAGAACCCAGAGGACTATAGGCTGTCATCACAAGGCCTCGCTCTTTGCAGTGGGCCAGCAGCTCCACCTGAGCCAGGTAAGGGTGTCCCTCCACCTGCAGCACTGTGGGTTTGATACTGGCCACCGACAGGATGTCGTCGATCTGTCGACTGTTGAAGTTAGAGAGGCCGATGGAGCGGACCAGACCTTTCTCCACCAGCTTTTCCATGGCAGCCCAGGTCAGTTTGTAGTCAATGTCGTCATACATCATGGTGCCCTCCTCATTTTTGGGGAATGGGACGTCGCCCCGTCTGGAGCACAGAGACTGGAATTAACTGACAGATTCTGACCTAACTTTGTGTTTCCTGAGCTAGTTCACAGGTGACGCTAACACCTTAACTGATGAAACCTAAGGATAAAAAACCAACATCCATGGAGAAAATCAGTGGTTTTAGTTCACAGGGACACATAAGCTGCTGGTCCACTGCTGCCTCCTGTGATGTCACAGGAACTCGTTAGAACTCAATGATGGAGCAGCAGTGGATCACCAGCTGCTGAGTCTAAAATCACTGGTTTTCTCTATGGACTTTTGGATTAAAGATTACCAGGGCTCTGTGTGTTGGTGTACAAATGACTATTATGAATGTACCAGCTGACAACGTGTCAGTATCTATACAACATCAGTTTTATGTCGGGACTCTGCTCTGTTCCTTCTGCTCTCATCACCAGGAGGACGACCTCCTGTTGGGGCGGAGGAGAGTGGCCTGCAGCAGAGCTCACTGGAAAGCATGAGGCCAGTGGATGAGGTAGAGGTCCAGGTACTCCAGCTTCAGATCCTTCAGGGTCTTCTGCAGTGCAGGCTCCACGTCCTCTGGGTGGTGTCGAGTGTTCCACAGCTTTGACGTGATGAACACATCCTCTCGTCTCAGGGACTGGAGACACACACAAACACACACACACACACACCAAGAGTATGTTTATGACACACAGGAGTGGAGTGGATCAACCAGACTGTAACACAGACGAAGTCATCTCGGACCTTCCCAGGGCCCAGCGTCTCCTCCAAAGCTTCTCCAATCTCCAGCTCGTTTCCATAGATGGCAGCACAGTCGATGTGTCGATATCCAGATTTTAGAGCCCAGACCACAGCCTGTTTGACCTGAGGGCAGGGTCAAAGGTGTGGATGTTACCTCTTCATCAAACAACAATTTAACATTAACCAGAACGCTCTATTCAGAGGTCACAGATGTATGAACTGTTCTTATATACACATGTATATATATTTTTTATTTATTTATATATGTATAATTAAATACATGGTCATTGTGTCTGGGTTTGTTTTAAAACCACTGACTAATTATTTACAGATATTATTGTCACTGAACCGTTGGAGCTGCTGTAACAACTCCTGTTTATTTAATGAATCTCCAGCCTCAGGTCTCTCCTTATATGAGAATAACTTAATAAACATATAAAATTGAACTTCTGAGTGACGTTAGTTCTCCTTTAATGTCATTTTTAATTTCAAATCTACCTTTCCTGGTTCACTCTTCCACGTTCCCAATCCGAGCAGAGGCATCTTCCTGCCAGTGTTAAGAACAGCAAAGTCGTTCATGGTTCTCACAAAATTCTGAAAAAGAAAGGGAAAGAAAAAAGGAGGAGATTTTAGTCATCAGCAGAATTAAAATAAATTATGATGGAAAAACACCTTTCCCATGACTAACTGAAAATTACACAGTAATTAATAAGGTTTCACTGCATTCATCGGTGCTTCTCTGCACTGAGAAACTTAGTCAGCTGACCTTCAAAAAAATTCACACGTGACTCCAAGTTCAAAGACCTCTGGCTGTTAAAGCTTTCATAAAAACTGAACAGAAAGATGAAGTTAGCCCAAAACTATAGTAACAATAACTTTCCATTAAATAAACGTGTACGTAGGTTCACAGATAAACCAAATGTTGGATACAAAGGTGAAATACTGGAGTCGGTACCATCGAGATATTAACACAGGACATGTACTCATTATAGTAGTATGTTTAATAAAATAAATAAAAACAGCCTTCAGATAGAAAACGAATGTGATTTAATAAACAATGGTTAGCAATAAAGTATACATAACAGATTGCTGACACTAATCAAACGAACTGGGGGTAAACGGAAGACGAGGACAAATCCCGGTGAATTAAACCCGCTGCTGCTGTTGTTTACCTTATGTTGAATGATAAACAGAGATTTTCCCACAGTTGTAGAAACAGAAAAGTTTCCGTTGTAACTAAAAGCAGTGGCACGTGTTAAAATGACAACATGTTAGCTTTAGCTTCACCATCACAATCAAACTGTCATTTCATTTTGGACTTGTTTCATTTAAACAAATGCACTGAACAACACCCGGTCCGTGTAAAGCAGAAAGACCAGGACAGTCTCTCAACCGCATATTCTACAAAAACGACTCTTTGTCTCCTATTAAACACACTCACTGTGGGAAGATGACAGCAAACTTCGTCTTTTCTCTTTTTCCCCTTTCAACAGCAGCAGCTTAAATTCCTGTTACAATGACCTAAAATAATTTCTGTCTTGAAATCACCTCCAATTTTCTCAACATTTCCGTTTCCGGGCTGCTGGGGTGTCTGGATGGACACGCCCTTACCCTCACCAAAAATGTCTGATCATCACTTCTCCCGTTTCCTCTTTTTTTCCCCTATTTTGTCTCTTCCTCACTATTTTACTTTACTGTTCATAACCGTGTCGCAAAACAAATGGCCTTTTATCAAGTTTCATATTAAACACTCTATGTAAGTGTCGTATTTTTTAATTCTTGACATGTTAAGAAAGCTTTGAACTTAACCTACCGAGTTTTTACTCAGTTGATGTAGTCTTCCGATTTCCCTTTTCTTTTACGCGTTTAATCAAATATTCGATAATCCTTCACTTTGTCTTAATGCACGTCAGATTGGTTGATTTGTGAACGCTGTAGTTCTCTTTTAGGCCTGCAGGCGTCACAGCGCAGCACAGAAGGCAGGAGGAGGAAAAAGAAGAAGAAGAGAGGAAGAAGAGAGGAAGACCGGAAGTGAGATAAATGTCAAAACTTATTTTTTAAGTCAGTAGAAACTTTACAACTTTGAACAAAAAAAAAAGATTAACTTTTTAAACAATTGTTTTATTTGCTTACTACAGAAAGGAAACAAAAAGCCGTTACCAAAAACTTTACGGGTCCATCATGGACAAAGAGTTCGTTTAGAAGTGTTTTATTTTAGAATTTAAACTTAGTGGTTAATTACAGGAGCTAAGCTAAGTCAAATAACTTTACACCGGTGTTTTTTTTAAAGCTCCGATAAAAAACAAGCATTAGCTCTAAAATGTTCGCTTGTTGCTACTGGACTGTTCGCTAGAAGGCTTTAGGGTTTTCCCCACGACTTCTGTTGAATTGTTCCGGCCCTGTCCTGTTCTGGGCCCAATCCTGGGTCTGGTCTGGCTATGCTCCTGTTGCAACAGCTGCTCTCTCCTGTCATTTAACCTCCTTCCTCCTCCTGTCACCTCCCTATGGCTCACTGCGGAGGAGTCCCCACTCCAGAGCTCGGAGCTAAGAAGACTCCAGACAGTGGTGTGGACCAGAGCATGAAGCCGGTGCTCTTTGAGATCTACGGGGAGATCTGGACCGTGGAGTCCCGGCTGGGACAGGGAGTCTCGGCCTCCGTTTACCGGGTCAGCTCCGGGAGAGCCACCATCGCCGCCGTCAAAGAATTCCAGGCCGACACCCAGGGAGGAGACTACGGTTATCACAAGGAGAGGAGCGTCCTGGAGGAGATACAGGGACACAAGAACATCGGTAAGAACTGGGACCACAGGAACTCACCTGTAGGTTTGTGACAATGTGAAAAAATAGAGAGGTTGCAATCTTTGAATCCATGTATAATTGAAGAATGTTCAGGTGTTACAGCTGATACTGTAGCAGCATGTCAAAAAACCCAGGTTCATACAAACTGTAAGAAATATGTAGAAACTATTTTACATGAATTAGAAATATGCTAGTACATCGTATCAGTATATACAGGATCAGTTGTGGGTGGGGATATAAGCAGATTTTGATTCCAGAGTCAAATCTCATACAATAAATTAGAGTATTGTAAAAAAAATATTAACCAAAAATGTAACTAAAGGAGGAAAAGTCAAGAATCTTCTTCTCTGACAGCAAACCCAGGCTGGGGTGTGAGAAGAATCAAGGTCTCTGAGAAGCATCTGTCATTGTTTTCTAGTACATAGAATTCTGATTGAGGGTTGAAAACCCTGCAGATTTGCATAGTTGTGTAGATTTGAGCTGTAGTTTTGCAAACCAGAGGCTTCAATTCTAGTCAGACCGTATTTGAACAGCCTGTGGCAAAATAGATCAAAAAAAGATAAGTACAAATAAAAAAAAAACAAAAAAAAAAACAGTCTAGACTTTTATTTTGACAGGACTCTTTACATGAAGAACAAACGAGGTCTCGTGATTCATGTCTAAAGACAGTATTTAAGAAGTGACTCTTCCCATTTGGCTTTAAAAGAAAAGGTAATTTCAGTTTATAACGAAGGGGTGACCTTTGTATCTTACAGAAAAATGTTTTTTTTCTTTAAAAGAAACTGATGTCGTTTTTTAATGTTGGCTGCCCTTTAAGAACCCTTTAGAGACTTAACTGAACCAGTAGGTTTGTCCAGGAGAGGGCAGTCTTTGAAATATTAACCTGGTCTGGACTTATACATCCAGTGATATATGAACTGCGTTTGCAGTGACATTGTATGGCGTCTTCACCAACCACAGCCACGCGGGTGTGCCCACTCGCTGCCTGCTGCTGGAACTGTTGGACGTCAGTGTCTCAGATCTGTTGGTCCGAGGCAGCGGTGGCGGTCAGAGCGGCCGGTGAGTCGTGACAGGATGTGAAGTAAATCCTAGAAAGGTGTGTGTTTGTTTGAATGATCATTCTTCTCTATATCTATGGTTCTGCTGCAGATCTCAGCAGGGTCACTCCATGTGGCTGGTCCAGCATTGTGCCAGAGACATCCTAGAGGCTCTGTCCTTTCTTCACAAAGAGGGTTACGTCCATGCCGACCTCAAACCACGGAACATCCTGTGGAGCGCCGACGACGAGTGTTTCAAACTCATTGACTTCGGACTCAGCTTCAAAGAGGGAAACCAGGTGAAGTTGGTTTGGTTGGTGGGAGATGGTGAGTAGAGGACGTTGGCTTTTATTGATGTTCCTCACTTCTCCACAGGATGTGAAGTACATCCAAACGGATGGGTATCGAGCTCCAGAGGCGGAGCTTCAGAACAGCCTCGCACAGGCCGGAGTGGAGATGGAGGGAGAGTCGGGCTGCACGTCTGCTGTAGACCTGTGGAGCCTCGGCATTATCCTGCTGGAGATGTTCTCAGGAATCAAACTCAAAGACACCCTCCGCTCACAGGAGTGGAAGGTACAACTACAGAAACCAGTTCAGGACAGTTACAGTCTGCTACACCAAAATCCACCCAGAAAATAACTGATCCACATTAGTGATCCACATTGGTGTTCCATACTAATGATTCACATTAATGATTCACATTAGTGATCCACATTAGTAGATATTTATTTTTGTTCCCTCTCTATATCGTGGTTCTCCTTTCACTACCTCAGTACATCAGATTTGTTTTTTATTCCAATCTTGCGAGAGTTTCGCTATATCGTGGTATTTTACAGTAATTTTTTTTAGAATAAAAATTTACAATATTTTCATTATTTTCATGATAAACATTTTCTAACATAAAAATGTGGAACATTAAAAATATAGCAAAAAAATACTAAAAGACATCACTGTTAGCTTTGTTTACCCAGACGAGATCGAACACAGCATTGAGCATCTTCTGTTCTTCACGCTGATTGGCTCATGCATCATAGCATCTCCTGTTGTCTATCCGCCACCCTTTCACTTTCCGTGCACCATTTAATATGTTTGTGCTCTTGTGTTTGGTGAAAGTTGACCCTAATTTAATGCCCTACGATGCCTCCTAAACGCTCTGATCGTCTTCTCAGGCTTCTGTTACTAAGCCCAAACGAAGACTGTTTACTGTAACTCATCAGTTCTCAGTGACTAAGGCAGTAGTGGAGCCGCAGCAGCAGCAGCAGCTCTAACTGGTTTTCTCTATGGATATCTGTATTAGCTGGTGAATTTAAAAAGTGTTACATTTACAAGAATCATGAGCTGGAACTCGGGCCTGATCCTTCCGACATTCTCAGAGTCCAAACCTGTTGTTGACCAGTGTCTCCTCCCAGGACAACACCGCTGCCATCGTCGACCACATCTTCACAAACAACAGTCTGGTTTGTCCTGCCATTCCAGTCTATCACCTAAGAGACCTTATCAAAAGGTAAACACTCTCTCATCTGTGTGTTCTACATCGAGTCATGACACAGTTTGATGTGCAATGGGCTCTGTGTTCCCAGCATGCTCCTCGTCAACCCAAAGCAAAGATGTTCAGCTGAAGCAGCTCTGCTCAGTCCTTTCTTCAGCATTCCCTTTGGTGAGGCTTCCACTCTGTCTTCATACATGGTCCTGGGCTCCCTTCCTAAACATCTCTTATTCCTGTGTGTGTGTGTGTGTGTGTGTGTGTGTGTCAGCCCCTCACATTGAGGACCTGGTTCTTCTTCCCTCTCCTGTTCTTCGTCTGTTGAACCTGATTGACGACAGTCATCTGCACAATGAAGAGGAGTATGAAGGTACTGAGATGATTGACTCACCTGCTACTGCTAGTACATAACCATGTGTATATGAGCCAATGTGTATAGTCATGTTCTGAACAAAGATGGATGGATGTATTGATGGATGTATGGATGAAGGGCTGGATGATTAAATATCAAACAAAAACCAAAGTAATGATTTTCTTTTCTTTTCTTCTGCCTGGTGTTCTCCCAGACATTCTGGAGGACATGAAAGAGGAATGTCAGAAGTACGGTTCTGTGGTTTCTCTGCTCATTCCAAAGGAGAACCCTGGGAAAGGACAGGTCAGTGTCCTGATCTGCTGCTGTCTAAGGGACTATGGACACAACAAAACCTTCAGACATCATTCTCCTGCATACCTTTTATGGCCACAGGGGGGCACTCTACTAGTGCAGCTCTCAGGGAATGCTGCTTAAGGGTCTTGTGTTGATGTTCTGATAAACAGAACCAAAACATAAACCTGGTTGGTCCAGGATGAACTGAGAATCTCTTTAACCTCCTCTGTCCACTTTGGAAGAACAGTGGTGTTCCTGCAGTGCCAGTTAGATTAGTTCTAAAGGTCTGGTTTAGCACTGCACATGGAGAACATCTAATGCTGTGGAGATTTACCTTCATATATACAGTATATAGAGTGGACTCCTGAGATACGGGTCTAATCCGTTCCACAACAGCACTCGTATGTCAATTGCCTTATCCCAATAAAAATAACTAAAAACCAATTAGTTCATTCCGAAAATAATATACTAGAAATATACTATTAATTAATTAAGTATTGAGATGAACTTTTGTTATTGACCAAATACTTATTTTACCGAGGGATTTATTTAATGAATTAATTAATCCATTAAAAATCCTACAATGTGATTTCCTGGATTCTTTCCCCCCATTCTGTCTCTCATAGTTGAAGTGTATCTATGATTAAAATTACAGCTCTCTCTCATCTTTTTAAGCGGGAGATGACGCCACCAAAAATACTTTTTTGCCCCACTGTATAGGGGAGGCTTGATTACTCCAATTCCGCTCACTTCCGTCCGGGGCTGCACCTGTGTTGCCACTCCCGTGCTCTCCCTCCTGCAGCTGATTGCTAACTTCCTCTGCGCCCCCACAATATGCATGTCAATGAATTTTGTTTTTCATGGTCGTATTTAATTTATTTATGTAATATGTACAGTATGTCTTATATTTCCATTCTACAACTCTATTGTGCGTATAATTGTGTGGGAAAGGGTAATACAGTCTAGGGAGGGTGGATAACAGTGTCGGGGCAGTTTGTAAAGGGTAAATATATACGTAATATATACGATTTTCCCTTTTGTGCGGTGTATGTATGCATATATACTATATATACACATGTATATGTATATGTACATATACAGTATATATATATGTACATATACAGTATATATATGTACATATACAGTATATATATATATGTTGACACACAGGAGACATTCCTGTTCTTCTTCCTGTTCATCGACAAAGACTAAAGAATCTGACTGTTCATGTTTTTTTTATCTGTCTCAGATTTTGCTGTTCAGTGTTTGATTATTTTGCCTGTCAGTCTTCCTGTCCCTCAGCCACAGCTCTAACATCCAGCTCCAGGAGGCGCTGTTTCATAGGTCTGTATATGGTCATGTGTTTCTTGCAGGTCTTCGTGGAGTACGTGAACTCCAGTGACTCCAAAGAGGCCCAGAGGCTGCTGACGGGTCGGACCTTTGACGGGAAGTTGGTGGTGGCGACCTTCTACCCCCTGAGTGCTTACAAGAGAGGCTACCTGTACCAGACGGTCCAGTGAGCTGTTGGAGACCTGCTTATTCTCATCATCAGATAATTCAGGAGGACAGCTGCTCAGAACTAGAACACCACTGTCACATGTTCTGAAGCATCCAGCTGCAGTTTTGTCAACCCTCTGCATGTTCCACCCTCTGGAGGTTTGTCTGAAGGACTAAGGCTGGAGGTCAGCCTTGACAAGAAGAGGGAGAAGAAGAAGAAACTTGGATCGATTTAAATTATTCTGTTGCTGCTGCTACTGTTGCTGCTGCTACTGTTGTTGCTGCTGCTGCTGCTGCTTCTTCTTCAGCTGGACTTTGTACAAGTTTGAGGTGTGAAAATTAAGAATTGACCTGAGAGAATTTAGGAAAAGTTAGGAGAGTTGTCATCATCATCATCATCATCATCATTAAGAAGAAGATGGTGTTGATGAAAATGATGATGATGACGAAGATGATGATGTGAACCAAAGTGCGTTATTTACAGTCTTATTTATTCCGTTAGCTCAGACTACAGTGACATTTACAGGCACAGGGAGGCGACAGCAGTTAAAGGATTTATAACGAACATGTTTCATCCATGTTTATCTGTAAACATGTTATAGAAGAGTCCCTGGCATCAGTAGTATTTTTCAAATCTTCTTTAAAAGGGAGTTGTGTGATTGGACACTAAGCTACACTGTGTGATTGACAGGTCCAACGTCCAATAGGCTTCTGGCTGCTGAGACTCACCTGGTATTTTACAGATGTCCACTGCTCATACACAGTCCTGCATTATAGAGTGAATTTATTACTGATGCTAACTGTTAGCATCGCTGCTCTCAAAAACAAGAGTTCTGGAGAATAAGCACAAAGTTCAGCAGCATAGAAGAAACAAGAACAGGAACTGTTTTTGTTTAAGAAGGTATTTAAGAAACCAAATCTGTTGAAGTAGTTTGGAGTTGAACACTTTTGGTAATAGTGGTGGAAGTATGAATAGTTCCTGGTACTGTCTGCGGTGCTGGTACTGTATTGGTTGTGGGTAAGGTTCCTATTTACTCAGAATGCTCAGAAAATGCTCAGAAAATGTGCCTTAACTGGATTTGTCCTGTTGTCCCTGGTACCGATGTCCTCCAGGTCCAACTGTCCTCAGTCTGACTCTAAAGACCAGGATTAGACTCTGACCTTACCCCCACCCCACATCCATCCTGGTCTCCTGCAGGACAGGTCACATGGAAACATGTTGATTTTTATTAATAACATTAACCAAAAACCTGGTTTTAACGCCATCTACTGTTGGTTGACTGTTGAAGAGTGGACTGATCACAGACGACCTTCTGGTCACCATGAGACCATGGGAAATGGTTTGGTCTAAATGACAGCTGAAATGTTTTAGTGTGACGTCGTAAAGAAAGAGAAAAAAAATAAAGATGATGCTTTGACCTGTGTGTGTGTGCAAACATTAGCTGAAATTATTTTTAATTAACTTAATTAAATGACAAACTCCTAAACAGACCAAAGTGGGCAGTGTTGGCTTAGCTGTTAAGGAAGCGGACTTGGTTCTGGAAGAGTCCACCAGCTGCCAAGTCACCACTGAGGTGCTCTGTCATGGCTCCGTCCACACACTGCTCCCCCACTGTTCACTTTGGTGATGGGTCAAAAACAGAGGTCACATTTGGTTGTGTGCAGACAATTCCAGACATGTTAGGAGATTTTCTCTGGGGTGAATTGATAGATTTTTATTTCATTTATATTTGGAGTCAGGGTCGTCATCTAAGGGGCATGGCCTCTCTTCCTTTGATCTTCCTAGAAGAAAAAACAGTCATTAGAGACAGAAGAGAGCGGAGTATTATGGTATGGTACTGCTGAAGGTCACTGTTGTTGAGAGTTGTTAATGGGATAAAATGTTTTGAGGACTCACTGTTCCAGGAATGTTCTGGACCATCTCCACGTCACCACTCTCCTGCCGTGGTCTCCTCCTCGTCCTCCAGGCGTCCACCACAACCAGTGTGGAGAACATGAAGAACACTGCTGCTGCCACAGACACTGCCACACCCACAAACACTGAGGGGTTCCTGAACCTCCCTCCCTGTGGATAACCATGGTCCAGAGCCTTCACTGGTCCAACCTCAGCCTGAGCAGCAGAACGAAGCTGAGGAGCCAGGAGACTGGAAATATCTGAGGACAAACAAACAGTGAAGAAGAAGTAGAGAGCAGAGGGACCGGCCCACAAAACTTGTCCCCTCTCTCGTACCTTCCAGACTTAACAGGAAGAAGGTGCTGTTTTCTTTGATGAACTTCCTGCTCCTCAGTCGTGTATGGGTAATGAAGGTGCTGGTACCAGATCCTGGACCTCGGTAGTAAACATTGCCGTCAGGGTCCGTAACCTTAGAACCCACCTTCCTGGGATTGTCCCAGTAGAACTCGGTTCCTGAAACAGGTTCAAAGGTCATTCCTGGTACTGCTAGAACGTAGGTGGACCTGAAGGACATCTCTCACCATCAGAGGACATCTTCTTGGGGTCAGTGGTGACCATTCGATGCATGTTCATGTGCTGCCTGATGTCGGACTGCTGGTCCATCAGGGCCATGGTGGCCTGGTGCCAAGGACAGGGCCACTTCAGCAGGTGATCGTTGGGTCCTGAGGTCAGATGGAGGTAGACGGCCACATATCCTGGACGATCACTACGACCGTTCAGGTAGACGCCAACCTTTGGAGCAAAGAACATTCAGAGACCGGAGGTCAACAGCAGACGTCCTGAAGGTTCTGTCTACTGATTCTCAGTAAAGGGACTGAAGTCCAGGTGTCATTTTAATAGTTCCAGAACCTGAAACTACCTGGAAAGAGTAACCAGTTGGAGACAGGAATCGTGGACTGTAGATCTTTGTCCCAGCTGGACTGGACGCCATATGGCCGGTGACATCAGGAATGTGCCAGACGTGCTGAGGACATTTGTTAGAGGACAGGTTGATGTCATCGATGGACAAGCCTCCTGACGACAGGCTGGTTCCCTTCATAGCGTCAAAGATCACACGAGCTTTCTTTGTCATGTTCATCTCCACCAAGTGGAGCTCCCACGAACCTCTGACACCTCCTGTCACACACACACACACACACACGTTTTTATGGACTGCAGACACCTCCTGGCTTCTTTTGAAAATAGCCTGTTACTTTATTGGCTAACCTTAAGCTAAAGCCTTTCAGTGTAAAGAGTTTTATTTAGTGTAGTTTAAATTGAAGAGTTTTTTACCTGAAATGCTTTTTCCAAAAATGATTTCTGCGTTGTTGTATTCTTGCATCCCGACTTGGAGAAGATCGTTAGCTCCTCCACTGTTGAAGAGGAAGAACTGCATGCACTGAGGCCCTGGTTTGGGGTAAAACCAGCGGGTTTTCAAAACAGCGTGCTTCCCAGAATCACCAGAGGCTGTGCTGAAGTGCATGAAGTGACCTTGTCCTGAAAAATAAGTAGATGTTAAAAATTCGTTAGCATTTCATTTAGTCCCACAATCAGGACAAATTAAAGCAAAATAGTTTTTAATTATTAAATTCAGCCTGTGGTACATGTTCCTCTGTTTTAAAACCTGTGCAGCGGCGTAATTAAACCTAAACAAACTTCATTAGCTCTTCCTTCACCTGGACATTGACCCATGTGACTGAAGTCGGTTTGTGGTCCTGCGCTCACAGAGCTGCGACGTTCCCACATGTTGTTCTCTCCTTCTGCCACCATCCCACAGATGTTCTCCTCCTCAAAATCACAGCTGTCCACGAAGGTGGAGGACTGAGCTGTGGGTTAGAAATCACAGGGACGGTTGAACTCCTCCCCCCCATCCACAGGTCAAACTGTTGTTAATGAACTAGCTCTAAGCAGCAGCTAATCGTAGCTAGCATAATGACTTTTAGCCTGTTGTTAACAGTGTTAACAAGCTAACGTACTGCAGTTGTAAAGACGGTTGAGTTTAGCCAGGTCGTTAGCACTGAAACCCATCCTCTGACCAATCACGTCTCTGAAGTGTGGGATCCTGGTGACGATGGTGGGCTCGGAGCCCACATTGAAGGAGGTCTTACTGTAGTGCATCACAGAACCGTAGTCGTAGGGAACGCCCAGAGAACTGGACTCTGAGTCGTCACGGATCCTAAAGTTGTGCTCTTTACCTAAAGAAGGAACAAAGGACTGATCTCAGAACCAGCCTTCAAATAAGTACCCCAAGCAGTGGCTAATCTACAGTACCAGGTTCAATCTGATCCCATATGATGGTGACATAGTCGTCTCGGTCGTCTCGGGACTGTTCATGCCAGAATCCAAGTGCGTGCAGGAACTCGTGCTCAACAGTTCCTAGTCGATCACAATTTTTACCGATGGATAGTCGCTGTTTTCCAACGTTCTGGTTCCCAACAGAGGAGAAACATCTGCAGACAGACCCTAAGAACTGTTTATTTGGAGAAACCCCTGGCAGAGTAATGGAACCAGGGAACCAGGAACAAGATATAGTACCAGGAACAACTGGACTCACCCACTGCCTTTGAATACAGAGATGTAGTTCTTCTCTCCACTCCAGGGTGTAAAGTCCAGGCATGTCTTTAATCGGTACTGGTCAAAGGCCTTTAGGATCACTCCTTTGGCGTTCATGTCTTTATGAAGGTGAGATTGTAGAAAAGAACACCAGGATGAAGGGTTTCTGAAGGTCTACATATTCATGGAAATTATGAATGAAGACCATCTTACCAAGACTGTCCTCCAGGATGTAAGGAACAGTTCTGGGCCAACGGAACTCTTCTCCCTGGATGGAGTTCTTTGTGGGCATCTGAGGAGAAACGTACCATGAAATTAAGAGCTGCAGGGACTAATATGTCCCTAATTACAAGGACTTGTAATTACCAGGAACATGTAACAGCACCAGGAATAAAACGTGTTTATTTGAGAAACTAGCGATTGTAACAAGAACTAGAAACAGAACCAGGAACTGAAATGGTTTTTACCTAGTAACTAATAACTCCCAGAACTACAAGTCTTTCAAAGTTGTTCTACCAGCAGTTCCAGCACATAAACATGTTTTTCTAGGAACTAGTAACAGTCCCAGGAACTAATGTGTCCCTGTAAAGATTTGTTCAAAATGGACGACATTTTTTCCGATAATGTGTGAGGTCAAACAAGGATTTTCATTAGAAACCAAGAACAGGCGTTCATGTCAGGTTCTCATGTTGGTCCACTGTTGTATTTCACATGAACCTACCCCCTGCTCTATGTCGCCCTCCAGCAGGTCCAGTCCTGCAGCTGCAGAAGAAAAGGTTCAGATGTGAAAGAATCATCATTGACTGTGACTGGAGGAACAAACAGTCGCCAAACCTTGGTTGATGTTGTCCATGTCCCAGTCATGTCCGTCGTCCACGTCCACCTCTGAGGACACAGAGTGAGTTTAAATTAACAATAGACACAAATTCCACATCTACCAGTAAACAAAGGTCATGTTACTCACCTGTGTCACCTGACAACTTGGCTCCAGTCTGCTAGTTATAAAAGGACACATAAATATGTTATTAATATTGTTCAGAATATAAATATAGATTAGACGATGGATGTCAGTGAATGCATCACGAGTTAAAAGACTCAACCGATGAACAACATGAACTACTCACTGTGCCCTGGACCAAAGTCCATAGAGAAAATCAATGGTTTTAGTTCAGACCAAAGTCCATAGGTCCATAGAGAAAATCAAGTTCAGACCAAAGTCCATAGAGAAAATCAATGGTTTTAGTTCAGACCAAAGTCCATAGAGAAAATCAGTGATTTTAGCGCAGATCAAAGTCCATAGAGAAAATCAGTGATTTCTGGGTAATTTTTTAATCTATGTTATACTATCTTTTATATGCAATTAGTAATCATATTAGTATCTTTTTCTAACTTATCTTAGCATAGTTTTAATTAAAAAATATATATTATATCATATTATTTGCACTCACCAGAGCCAGGCTGAGTAGCAGGAAGAAGAAGCTGAACGACATGTTTGCTTCATCCACTCACTCATTCAGCAGAAACAAACCCTATCTCTGTGTTTATAAACCATGTTATAGGTGATTATCACCATGTCAGATATTAGCTCTTATCTGACAAGAACAGTCGTTCTTGGGTAATGGGTTCAAAGTTCACAACAGGATTAGACATTAGTGATAGTTGTCTTAAATAATCTAAACGTCATCATTAAAATGTTAGGGCTAAAATATAACAAAAACAACTGAAGAAAAACTGAATGGCATTAATAGATAAAGTACAGACTAACAGTAAAGACTTAACCTAAATGACAAAAATCTGGAAGTGCTAGGCCAGGAATAGCTAAATGTTAGCAAAAGACAGGTAGGTTTGAAGAAGTCGCTCAAGGTCTGTTTATTTTTATTATCCTAATAAATGTATACAACCACGGTGGAATATTGAACTGCTCAGATACAGACGTTCACTCACAGCTCACATTAATATCAATAACATCAACAAACAGAAGATTAGATATGATTGACAATCAAAATGACATTTATGGGGTCAATACAGGTTTATTACAATGGAAATTTATAAAATATTTATAATCATTAATCCACCTTCCATTCGTTCAACCAACTAACAGAGAAAAAGCTGACTAATCATTCCTTAACTGATCAACCAACCTACCAACATCCAATCAACCAAACTCCCCTCCGTCTCAGCCGCTGCTCCCAAGGAGTGAGCTGCTCGTCCATGTCTGTACATATATATTAATGACAACAAAGGTGAGTGTCTTTGTTTTGTTATTTTTCAAAAAACGGTAAAAACTGGATCCGACCAATTAGTGCTCCAAGACCATAGACCCACTGACTGTACCATCAGCAACAACATGAGTGGAGGACTGAAATTTCATTGTGCAATATGTCCTTTATGTGTGGCATATTTGACAATAAAGTTTATTTGACTTTGACTGTGATGAGCAGAAGAGAACGAAATTCCCTCACAGATGCTGGATAATAGTGACGTCATAACAAGTGTCTGTACAGGTTGTCCACATTCAAACCTGTCGTTGAGCAGTGATGAGGAGATAGAGCGCTCTGACATCGACAGATCAAGACTGAAGAGAGACGGAAGTGACGCAAACAATCAGCAGCCTAGGCTAAGCTAAAACTAAGGCTGAAGCTAAAACTTTAAGCTACAATTTCGCAGTCTGTAAAACCATATAGTTTTTGTTTTACAGATTTCTGCTTGATCTAAAAGTTTATTTTCATATGAAGATGCCTGAACGACAGACACAGAGGTGAGGAATCCAGCGGTTTATTTATCTGTGTCCATCGGTGAGATTAAACTTTGAGGCTGCTGAGCCGGTTTAAATGAACGAACTTAGTGTAGCAGTAGTTAACATTTGAACTAACAGCTGTGTTAATGTACATACATGTTAGTGCTATTAGCTGAACCAACCTGTGTGATGGTCATACACCTAGACGTACATATATGTGATTTATTGAATGTTGAAGTCGGAAAAAAAAAAAATATTATAAAAGTACTCTCGAATTTTAAATTGTTGAAATCTTATTTTGTCAGTCCAACTTTCATTTACTGGTAAAACGGTGGTACCACCTTGTGATGCATCTTAGTCGAACAGACAGCTGTTTTATCAGGAAGTGAAGTGTTTTCTGTCTCTGTCTTTTCATGGGGTCAAGGATTGGAGCTGTGAGCACCCACTCCAGTGATGGACTGGAGGGCTTCAAGTCTCACGCCGTGTTCCAGGAGATCAACAACATGCTTCAGCAGGTGATTCAAAAACCTTCAAGACCCCCAGCAACAAATCAAATCAAAAATGTCCCCCCCCGACCCCCCGTCTCCTACTGTCCCTCCCTCTCCCCCTCTCCCAAATTATGGACTGATGACCTAACTGTGTAAAATGTGTGTTAAACAGGAGGGTGAGAAGTTTGTAAAAAAGATTGGGGGAGTCTTTGCTTTTAAAGTGACCAACGGTCCAGATGGGCAGCAGGCCACGTGGGTTGTAGACGTGAAGAACGGTAGCGGCTGTGTTCACAATGACACAGGTTTGAACATTTCTGATTTTATAGATATATGATACGAACTTGCATTAATGGTCTCATCATCAGTATTACTGAGATCACAGCTGACGAAACATGTTACTGCAGTACAGATCTGAGTGTTGTACATGTATACAAACAGTATGTTTGAAAGTCTGTAAAAACTGATGACTGACATTATATCACTGGAGCTGCTGGTCCACTGCTGCCTCATGTGGCCACTTTGTTTCACTGCGATCTATCTGAACTCAGGATTTCAACCACTTGGTGACAGAGGCAGCAGTGTAGCCACATCTGCTGAGTCTGAGCTAAAATTACCCACTTTCTCTATGAGGTTTGGTGCAGTCGTCTTCTCTCAGGCTGTTTCTTCTCTTTTTTCTGTAGGTAAAAAAGTGGACTGTACCATCACCATGACCGACACAGACCTTCTGTCTCTGATGACAGGGAAGATGAACCCGCAGACAGTGAGTGTTCACATCACAGCTTTAACACCAGTTTCCTGGTACAGACACCAACGCTAACGTTAGCCACGTCTCTCCTGGTACAGACATCACTGTCTATCGTCCCGGTCTGTCGTTGTTTTCTGCCTGATGACATTACCTCGTCTTGTTTTTCCCAGGCGTTTTTTCAGGGAAAGTTAAAGGTGACAGGATCCATGGGTCTGGCCTTCAAACTTCAGCAGCTGCAGCTGCAGCCTGTGAAGGCCAAACTGTAGACGCAGAGCCAGAACCAGAACCAGAAGCTGAAGGTCTGAACCATCAACTGTTTGTCCTCATTGTACCGTTGTTTTAGTGGACCATGGATTAAGCACTAACCTGAGTCAGAGAATGATCTAGATTAATAATGGGTAAAGCTGTGGTGTTCTTGTGAGGAGCGGCTGTGACATTCTCATGCTCTTCTGTTTATAAATATTTGTAATAAATACATTACGGTCTGTGGAACACCATTCACTGGATTGTTCTTTATTATTTATTTATTTTCTTTAGTTCCAAGTTCTCAACCTTTCTAGAACTTTCTGAATGTTCTCCTCACCATAAGTTTCTGGAGCCGTTCTTTAGTCCTGTAGTCAGAGGTCTTCACAGGAGCAGAAACAAACGCTGGACCAGGTGAGTGTGAAAGGTGAGCAGGTCAAAGGTCAGACCTCTCAGAATGATCTGGTTGTTCCACAACTCTAGCTCAGAAGCAGCGTCAATGTCATCTGGTCATCCCTCCAGACTCAGACCTGGTCCACCTGTTTCTATTTACTCTGTTTCAGTGTCTGACGGGCCTGGACCCAGACTTCAGTTAAACCTTCACTCCTTTGAACAAATGAACCAGAAATTTCCACTATTAAAAAAAGAAGCCTCAAGCTGTTATATACTGCGGCACCGAAGATAAAACTCTAGGATCTGAGTGGAACCAGAATCTGGGTCAGAGATCAGCCACAGCTCTGTGTTCCTGCCATCAGTTACGGAAGAAAAAAACCAAAAGTTTCAGTGTCGGACGGAAAAATAAGAAGGTCAACAGGAAACCTTGACAGAGCAGCAAAAAACTCTTGAGAGTCCGGTACAAATTCTGGTCCCGTGGTCCAACACTGGCTTTCAACAATAATGGCCCAAACACAGACGCTTTGTTGTAGGAAATCCATGCCAGTCAAACCTGGAACAGGGCCTGGAACAGGGCCTGGAACAGGGTGGGAGGACTCAGCTGTGAGTGTGTGAACAGCTCATTCAGCAGAACAACAGAACCGCTGAGGAACATAGTCACAGATGGGTAAAGGTTCTGGTTTTAGATAAACTAAACTGGCTCAGAAATCACAGCTCACTAATGTACCTCTCTATAGAATTCTTTGTTCAGATCCACTGCACAAATTAACCACTGGAGGCAGCAGTGGACTGGAATCCACTGTGAGCTAAAATCACTGATTTTCCATATTTTTTTTACTATTTTAAAGACAACACTGTAGTACTGTAGTAGTACTTCATCAGTCAGACTGGCTGTTGATATACTAAATATGTGTATATATTTAGTGTGTGTGTGTGTTCTGGTAGTTGACGCCTCTTTATCCTCTCCCCCCCTCTGACTCCACACCTTGTCACTGACCTTCTGACCTTCTGTCTCCTCTACACTGCGTCCAAATGCAGAGATGTGATTGGCTGAATAACATCACACGAGGGACTCCATCAGGTTCAGGTTCAGACCTAGTCCACACTGACTACGCTACTGCACACTTATATTGAAATTTAATCCACAACAAGTGCTTGAGGGGCCAGGCGGTGCCCGTGAGCCTTGAGTTTGACACGTGTGCTTTGATATAAAGACAGAGAGGAGAAGAAAAAAATCTGGTGGAAAGAAAATTAGGGAAGGAATGTGATTTGTTTTTGCTGAGAGTCAGAGCTAAGTGTGAGTGTCACTGCCCCCTCTGGTCCTCCTACAGTCCTCCTCTGGTCCTCCTACAGTCCTCCTCTGGTCCTCCTACAGTCCTCCTCTGGTCCTCCTAGAGTCCTCCTCCGGTCCTCCTACAGTCCTCCTCTGTCCGTCCCACATCTGGACTTCTTCCTCAGACAGACGTTTGAGTCTGGGCTGGATGTCAGACTTCACTGCTCTCCAGAAAAACATCTTTCCACACGGTAAAGTTCAACAGCTTAGCATTGTCATCTTCATCATTGTCACCTTCATCCTCATCATCTTCACTGATTCTCAGAAATACTTACGTCTGCATGTTTTTGGAACTGAGTTTAAATTTTTTTTTTTTTTTTTGCTGTAGCTGTAGAACTCTCTTCTCCCAGGAGGTCACTCTCCTTTACTCACCTTCTAACCACTCACTTGACCTCTGACCTCATTTGTTTTTATCTGTCTTGTCTTCATGTTAGCAGTCAGGGATGTTTGGAAGAACATCTTCCTTGACCTTGTGTCAGTCTCTGCTGCTCTGGTCCAGTGCCTGGTGTTCAGGCCCATGTTCAGCTGGTTTCTTTCATCGTTGTCGGCAGCTGAACTGGTCATTAATTAACTTTAACTTTGACTTTGAATTCATCCCAGTTTTTTTTTTGATCATTACGTTCTGTGGCTTCTTTTAGCGTTGTTGGCCAACTTTTAGACAGTACTCCTCCATCTTTGTTTCACATTCCTGTGCTTTTTCACAACAAACTTTAGCTGTTATTTAGAATGATAGAGTGCTAACTCTGATTTCAGGGACATTGTGTTTCTGCTCATTTTTTTAATACAGAACCAGCAAGTATCTGACCTTTAGCATGTGTCTGATGTTGATGTTGGTCTGTTGTTGCTCCAGGACATGATCTTCCCAGGACATTCCTGGCTGTGGTCCCTGTGTCTCTTGCTCCTGGTCTTGGTTCCTTTGTCGGACTGTCAGTCACCACTGGACCTAGTAGAAGAAGAGATGGAGGAGGAAGAAGAGGGGCCTCAGGTGGAGGCTGTGGTTCCAAAGGTGAAGAAACCTGAGATGTTCCTGTGTCCTGTGGACTGCAGCTGTACAGCAGAAGGTTCCGTGGACTGCGCTGGAGTGGACCTGACCGACTTCCCCGCTGAGCTGTCGGACCGAGTCAAACAGCTGTCTCTGCAGGTGGGTACATCCAGGACTGGTCCAAAGACCTGTTAGCTTTCTTCAAGGACTTGGACCAAAAACCTGTTTGAAACCCTGTTAGCTGGTTTTAGGGTTCTAACATTACCATCTGCTTCAAACCCTGGCAGGTTTGACTCAGGTTCGATAATTCAGATCTCAGTCAGATTTCCAACAGGACAGACATTATTTCTGTCTTTTCAAAGTCAAGTCTAAAGGTGAAGTCAACTTTTTTGTCTGTATTGTCATTCACAGAACAACAAAATCCAGGAGATCACACTGGAGCACATTTCACATCTGCACCAGCTGGAGACTCTGAACCTCCAGAACAACTGGCTCACCTCTGATGGTAAACACAGACTAACACACAGCAAGTCTGGGCACATTTGTTCTTGGGCAGACAATCAAACATCAGGTCGTTCTGGAGTTGTTTCACTTGAACACAGACACTGAGGCACTGTACTGTACTGGGGCAGGAACTGATCAACAACTGCTTGGTCTCAGCTAAAATCACTGATTTTCTCTGTGGACTTTGGTCTGTGAACTTTAATCAGTCCACCACTTGCTGGTACCCCAGTATTTCCTGCAGTGAAAACATGTTTATGTGTCAGTGTTGACCACAGCTGCTGGAGAGTTTTTCTTCTGCTCTTGTTTCCTCTACTTGTGGCTCAAAGCCAGTGTCTTGATTGTAAATCTGTTACTGCTGCTGTTCCACAGCCTGGACCTGGCAGCTTGTTTTTTTGAAGCCTGTTCTTCTAACAGTTCTTGGTACATGTGGTGGAGGAACGTTACAGAACCAGAGGAGGGCAGAACACTAAAGTTCATCTTCTCCACAGGTCTTGAAGATGAATGTTTTGAGATGTTGGAAGAACTGAGCTATTTATACCTGGCCAACAACAAGGTAAGTCCTCATTCACAGAGACAGTTAAAGGGGAACTGATGCAGCTGTGGAAGGGCACTCCACCCTGACGCCATTCAACGGACAACTCCGATCCACTTCCTGTCACCTGACGTCACTGTGACGTATTTTTGTGTGGTCACATGCCAACCACGCCCCCTGCTGTCTGGTCACCCCTCTATTCCCCTTGTCCTGGTTCACCTGGCCCTGATGTCATGTACTCTCTACCTGTACTACTACCTTATAGGTAGTAGTACAGGGGTAACATACTATAATTCGGTGCAGGCACAGTACCAGTACCGTAGGCTGATGATAGTTCTGGTCTCCTGTCCTAGTTGACCCTGGCACCAAAGGTTCTGCCACACTCTCTGGTCAGTGCTGACTTTGCTGCAAACCAGCTGACCAGGATTTACCCCTACACCTTTGGTCACAAACCCAAGCTGAGGTACTGGGACTGGCGGGTCATGGTGTGTG